CACCCTGCCACAGCCACCTCTTGCCCCCAAGGCACGGAGCACCGGGGCTGCCGAGGGGCCTCCCGTGTCTCCCGGTGGCATCCGTGGGGTGTCCCCTGGGTGGGCTTGTCCCAGTGCCCCACTGAGGGTACTGGGGTGGCAATGAGGGGATGGGATGGGGGACACTTGGGGATAGCCCCCACCAGCATGGCCACCACCACTGCCCTGCACACGTATGTGGCACCAAGATAGGAACACGTGTGTGCACACGCGTCGGTGCGTGGGGACAGTGACATGGGTGGAGGGCACTGGGACAGCAGGGGGTGGCACTGATGGGGACCAGACTCTGTGGTGGGGCTTGGGGGGGCAGGTGGCAGTGGCAGAAGGGGAAGGGGGTGGTCATGGGGGGGATGTTGCAGCATGTCACGCCTCATCACGCCTCGTCATGCCTCGTCACGCCATGTCACACACAAAGGGTCGGGAGATGCCTTGGGTGACAAAGGGGACACACACACATCTGCAGGGTCCTGCTGCCCCAGACTGGGGGTGCAGGGGTACCCCCCACCCTGCCCTCCACCCCCTCGGGGAGCTTGTCACACAGCAAGGACCCCCAACACAGCCATAGACTGGCGTGTCTGCCCCTTCCCTACCCACCAGTGGGAAGACAAGAACCCCCCAAACAGCCCCCCAAAATATCCCCTGACCTCTGCAGGAATGAGGGGAGCAGCACCGTAGCCCCCCCCTCCGGGACCTCCTGCCTCAGTTTCCCCTCCTGCCACCCCTGAGTGGAGGTGTCAGAGGGGATGTGCAGCACCCCCAGGATGGATTTAGGGGGACAGAGAGTAAATGGGGGACACCACAGGATACCTGGAGGTGGAGGGTGCTTCGGGCATGGGGGTGTGGAGGTCCCAGGGAGGGGGATGAGGGGGACATGTGGATAAAGCTGAGGGGACGCAGGGAGAGGAGCAGGAGGACACAGGGACAGACCCAGGAAAGGCATGGGGACAGGGTGGGGGAATGTGGATAGAAATTTGGGGGGACACGGGGATCAGATGGAGGGATGTAGGTACGAACTTAGGGGAGTTGTGGGTATA